ACTGCTAAACTGGGAGCTTGGGGTACGACAGTTTATTATTGAAATAAATACTCTTATTAAATGTTTTTCTTTGAAATTGTATTTCTTTGAAATATTTCTTTTTTTTGGTTACATGTACCAGTTAATATATTTTCCTTGTTTTATAATTGATACATTTAAGAAATATAGAAACCTGACTGTTTCTTATTTTTATCTCTTGTATACAACCTATATTATAAACTTACGGTTTTATAATGTCAGATATTCTTGTTTCTGACTAATGATTATTTTTTAACTTTTCCTGAATGACACAATGTCACACTATATTAAGCTGTACTCGATTTACGTAGTTGGTATAATCAAACGTAGGTAAATCGGTGAAAAGCGTAATCTAGTTTCAGGTTATTTTTAGATTATATGGAATATTTGATCAACGTTTCATTTTATTGGGTAATAATACCTGTGTAATAGTCAGTCCACTTGTTAGTTGTTTAAAAACATTTTAGTAGATAGTTGGACGTTCCCTCTGTGAGCTATTTATAGATTTTAAGTAAACAATATGAAATATATAGACGCAGGTAATTATGGTTGGAAAGAATAATATTATTATAATTGTTTGAAATTATTTGTTTATGTATCATTTTAAAGACCTTTAAATACTAAATTGTTCCTGTAATGACAGTTCTTTACTAGATAAAACCAGATGTTGTATTACGTAGTATTTCAATGTCTGATGAAATATATTGATAAATATATAAATGAAGGTAAAATAAAAGGTTTTTAAAGTGTTTTGAATTAAGGAATAAAACTGAAAATTTTAGGTGATGAATGCTTCAGATGCTGTTAGGATTATTGTCGTACGGGTTACTACTTGTAGTCTTGGGGGACTATTAGTATTACTGGGCACCAAAAAGTATTTTCCGGGTACCCATATAGCAGTTTTCAAGATGTCTGTTATATTAAGTATACTTCAAGATGCCTCCTGGGGACTACAATAAGTAACCCTGAACAGTGCCAGTCATTGATAAAACTGACCCACCCAACGCCACCAGTGATAAATGTCTTATCTGTTTATACACCCAAAAAAATAATTTTGTTAATATGCTGATATTTAATTTCTAATTGAACTAAATTTACTGTACCAAGTTAAGGATTTTCGCAAATTCAGCAAGGAAAACATTAGTGTCTGTTAAATTAAAAACTGTTTTAACTAATGTAAAACAGTGACTGTTATGTCAGTTGTTAACGGATATTGACATTATCCTGGTGACAAATTATGGTGAAAATAATTATAATATCCATCTTTTAAGTAAAGAAGATAATTTTTGCTTTTCTATGGAAACAGGATACTGTAATGGAAGTTTTTATCAGGTTGTAATAAGTATATCAAACATTTAATATTACATCAGATTTACACTTAATAAGCTTGACTAAAGAGAAATTATGTGATTCATAAGTACTTAAAATTCTGTACACCTTGCAAAAGTATAGTAAATTACTTCTGTTAAACTTAGGTATTTAGTGCAAGGTGAGGTGAGAGTGACTGAGTGAAGATCTCGCTGGCAAAGAAAGAGGAGGACCACACCATTAGTTGTTTTCTCAGCTAAAACCATTAAAAAACTTTCATTCTTTCAACTTGTTTATAGATTTTTGTAACACTCCTTCAATTTGCCACAAGAAATCCGAGGAATTCAGTTTCTCATAAAGTTTCATTTTGCACCTCTTTTGCTAACGGGAACACTGCCAATAATTTTGACTTGTCTGGGATGAAGAAAAGAATAATTTCCCCTTGAACAAAACACATGTTTTTACTGAGTGATAACTTAATATATGCGTAACATTTATACTGGCTTCATAATTATGCAATCTTTGTCAGATATAGCTATCGTTTTTAGGTTGATCAGTGCAGCTACTTGAGGTTGCTCTTTTTTTTTTCAGCAAACAAGTTTGTTACATGCATTGAAAAAAAAGTATGTATTTAGGTTAAATCGAGTTATAAAATTGAAATAGACATGCAGTGTTATTAATGAAATTCTGGTAATTTAATGATTGATGCAGCAGATTTGAGGTAGAAAAATGCAAGTGATGCATTTTCATTGCAGGAAAAATCTGTCATCAGTTTTATCAGTTACGTTAAAATGATTTTGATATATTTGTTTTGAAGAGTATCTTAAAAAATTTTTTTTTGCTAAATAGTGATAATTCTCAGATAGGTTGCACTAAGTATTGATAAAGACTTCCCTTTTCTGCTAGTGTTTATTTATTTATATAAAGTCTCAGCAAGGCTTCAACCTAACTAAAAATTTAATGCTTTATATGCCTCAACCCTGATGGGGGTGGGGGTGGTATTGTCTGTCTGTGTGTCTGTTCCAAAATATTGAAAATTAAAAAATGTTCTTAAAGTGCTGAAGCTAGAGTCAATAGACTTAACAGGAATGTTAATCAATATGTGAAGCTGTGCACCTAGGGTTTTACATGTAGTTTAATTCAGTTTTGTTAGAGTTATTGCCCTTGACTTTGCAATTTTCAATTTGTTGCACGTAGCTCCAGAAATATTTGACCTAGTCATGAAACCTGTTGTAAAGTTTATAATTTGACTTCTTGTAGCTCAATATGGGGAAAAAATCAAATCAGCACTGGAAAAATTGAATGTCATTTTGTGCCTCCCTAAAAAGGGGTGTCATGTAGAATTTCCTTTGCCGGTCTATCTGTCATACTGTCCTGCAGTACTTCAGTAGACTGACAGTGGAATGTGGGGGCATTTGTGTCCTATGGACACATTTCTAGTTTGCATTGAGAAAAATAAGTATGAAACCATCCATATTATCAACTTTGTCACATTATGCTAAATTTTTAATGTTCTGTAAACAAAAGTTTTTTATCTATTATAATTTACCTTTGTTCAGCACTGTGTGGTTTGAGAAGGTTTCTCATGGCCTATATTTTACCAAAATGACATTTATTGTCAAAATTTGATTGATCATTTTCCGTTAACTGTTTTTGCAAAAATGCAAATTTGTTAATTTGCTTTCATACCACACATTTTTCAGTAATGTAACGTGAAGTTAATATAATCACATTATTGTCGTCTTAACATGTTTATTAATTATACACACACACATTCATTCACTAAAACTATTTGCAGGATATGACAGCTAGAATTAAAATTCATATATATGTAAACATATAATTCCTATAAGTGCACCAGTCATTTGTGACAAGGCCCACACACATCTGCAGCATACCAGTCTATTTTAACCATGGACAACATGCCCCTTCATCACATTTGTCGATTGTAACCATAGCCCACATGCCCCTTTATTACACCCATTGATTGTAGCCACAGCTCACACACTTCTTCATAATGCACCCATCTATTTTAACAATACCCTGCACGCCCCTTCATTGCACTTGTCGCCTGTAACCATGGTCCACACGCTTCTTCATTACACCTGTCGATTTTAGCCAAGGCCCACATGCTCCTTCGTTGCACCAGTCTATTGCAGCCACGGCCTACACCCTCCTTCATTACACCTGTAGATTTTAGCCAAGGCCCTTCATTGCCCTTGTCGATTGTAACCATGGACCACATGTTCCTTCATTTCACTTGTCAATTGTAGCTATGGCCCACACTCTCCTTTATTACACCCATTGATTGTAACAATGCCCCACATGCCTTTTCATTGCACTTGTCAATTGTATACATGGCCCACATGCTCCTTCATTACACCCATCGATTGTAGCCACATCCCACCTATCTCTGCTGAAGGGCGGGAAAAGGGGATGAAATGAGACAAGCTTTTACCTATTGTCTGTCCATGTTCTACTTGGTCAATCTGCTGGTTTTGTTCTGACTCTAAAATAGTGGGAGCAATGACTAGTGCATAAATAGTATAGTAGTGATGAGGTCAGTGGAACTGATTTGGAAGTTCTTGTTGCAGTGTAGGTTTTCCTGTGACAGTTTGATTGTTTGTTAAACCATTCTTTCTCCACTGTTCATAATTGTGAAGCATGTAGAGAAGTTGAAAATCATATGCAGAAAAAGTAGTTAATCTAGGAACATTGAAGGGTAATTACCTAGAAGTATTTGACTGAAATATGGCACTTGTTCAAAAGCCATCCAAGCATGCAAAAGGTGTTTTTTAAGGGTATTTTATGTTGTTTTATTTTTTTAAAGAACACACAGAAAATTGTCAGACTTTAAAAGCATGTCTTGCAAAGGAGCCACATAGTTGCATCAAAAACAAAGTCACAAAAAAGTAAGACATTTTACATAGGTCAGATAGTTTTCAGTATTTGCAGACATTTAAACATCCTGCCTTGCGCAGGTGTAGAAAAACCACACATAGGTAAATAGCAAATCTGCTATATTGATCAAAGGAAATACTGCACAGTATATATTTTTGTAGGTATATTATGAAACATAATAAAGTATGATATGGATGAGTTATGTTTGGTTATCAGAGAATAAAAATATCCCTCTAATTAATTCCCCTCATTTTTTTACGTCAAAGACATAAATAGTACAGAAGTATTTGACTTTGACTATATTATGTCCCTTGTAAATGAGATTTTGACAGATTTGCATTGCAACTGATTTAATTGTTCTCCTATAAAAGCATATTTATATGACTACTCAGATTTCTTTTTTGTAAGTCAAAATTTTGTAGTTTTTCGCAGCATATGTATAGGTTTCTATGCATTTTTGATAATATTTATTTAGCATTGTGAATATTTATAGGTCTATCCATTTTCTTTGTAGGTATGTTTACATCGTTTGTAGTGCTTTTTAACATCTTCGTTAGTCTATTGTGCATATTTATAGATATATTGATCTTTGTAGGTCTATTTACATTATTTGTAGGTCTATTTACATTATTTGTAGGTCTATTTACATCATTTGTAGGTCTGTTTAACATCTTTTTTGTTTATTTCTTTGGAGGTTGCTTGCAGTTCATTTACTTATCCTTTAAAAGTCCACCTTTATGAAAGATTAAATTCATGTTTTTATATATTTTCAGGTCTATTATCTACATGGTGTGAGGAATTGGGTCACCAACTGTTAGTACGCCATCAAAAAACACATCCCAATAACAGTAAGGGACCAGGGGACATGCACCCACAGCTCCAGAAGCACATGGGGCCAATGGGAGCATGGTAAGTTGAAATAAATCTCTAATATCTTTATACACATGTACAGTGCAACCTCTGCCAAGCAGCCCTCAGTAGACCAACTACCTCTTTACAACAGCTGTGGCAATTCTTTCCAAAATACGAGTTCACAATAGATTTATCCTGTAAGTGCAACATCTCTCACCAACAACCAAAATCTTTGTTTCAAAGGCTATTGTTCTGCAAAGGTTGTACTGTATCTTAAAAATTATTTACTGCAATACATGTAACAACATATTTTTATAATCTAATGTGTGACATTCATCCGTATTCTTTTTTGTTTGGTTTCAAATCACACTATTAATGTTAAGGTTATTTTGGTCTCTGTAAGAGGAAGATCTTTGGTGCCCTTCTGTGCATTATTTCAGGCACAAATGGGCACCAGATTAGAACTACAGACAAACTGTTATAAGAACCATCCTCACATGAGAGAATAACTGTGATGATGAACATGACCCACAGCTGTGAGGGGCAAGTTATTTCAGCAGTTTTCCTTTGTAACCCTTTGTTTCTTATAACTATTTCTTCATCATATGATAAGTCTAATTAATATGATTATGATAGTATAGTTATATGACGTGGTCACCTTCGTTTATAAATATTGCAAGGTGCTTGTTTAACGAGACTATTATGAGTAATTATTATGACAGGTTCATTAGTCCTTAACTACAGGTCATCTACGAACTTCAGTATGTACATGATGTTGCTAACATATCACTTTTATTTCCATACAGCTAATTGAAAAAAAAAAGATGTTTTTATACCCCTGCAAAGTTTGAAACAACTGTTTTAGAGTAAGCTTTCCCCATGCCAACCTGTACACTATTGTTGCATTTATAGGAAGGAGATTGGGGGTCTTATTTGACTTCTGGATGGAAGACAAGATTGTTTTCAAGATTCTTTTTTAAGACTTTAGCACAACTTTCTTGTTTCATTTTTAAGTGCATAACTTTTCAGTTTTAAGTACATAACTTGTCAAAGTTCAAAAAAAATCATAGAGAAACTTACCCTCAACACAATATTTCGCTCCTAAAACCATGCTGATTGTTCTATTTGTGGCTAAAAGAATTTCAATATCAAACTGTTAAGAGCATCATTGGGTTGTTGTAATTGCTTGTATCTCTAGCAGTGTTAATTCATTGCCAAGTTACTCATTTGAGACAAATAAGTGAAACATTAATACTATTTCAGAGCCTTTTCTTCACAGGCCAATTTATACATTTGAGTACTATATACTTGTATGAACCCTGGCTTTACTGTTTCATTTTCTAGTTACAGCATATATGGCAGAAGTCTTTCCGTTATCAAAACAATGATGTGATTTACTAAAAGACAAAAGGAATATGTTAGGCACCATTGGTTTACTTATGACTGGTCATTTGTGAGAAGAAATTGGTAGTAATTTGTTAAAACAAGTTGGTTAAGAATCCAGCGACACTCGGAAGACTGTCCGCCAAACAAACATTAATCTAAAGAATAACTCAATTATTAATAATTTATGTAAAGCTTCAGGTAAATTATGTTTTAAAAACTTTAAGGGATGGCAACCTGCCAGCATGCTGCATGTGATTTCAAACTTTTTTGTGTATGTTATGTTTTTACGTTGTAAAGGATACTTTAACTGTTTCACACAAAAGAGTTTGCTATTTGAGCTTCCTATGTACAGTAATTACTCTTTAATGTACTAGGTTATGGTAAAGATATACAATGCTACCTTCACTTACTTGTTGCGTTAAATTAAATAGAAAGTTGAATGAATTAAAATTTTAATATTAACACCGACTTCCATAATGTGTCTAAACCCTTGTTGTGTCAAGCTGATTAAAAGAAGCAACATCATTTATTGTAAATCCTTCTAGATCTTCAAGTAATTTTCTTTTTTATACGGTTCTAGCTGTTTTCTGAATTAAACATATTTATGTCCACTATTATAGAGCTTAATTCATTCACTTCCTTTATATCTCGCAATCTTTTCGCGAGATTAATCCGAATTAGGAACTAACAGAGGTTGTTATTAAGAAAACAAGCCGAACATTAGAGTAAACAGTTTTGATTTGTTATAAGGTCATCAATAGGGATTTTACCAATATGTTTTCTCAAAGGTTCCGACAGTTAAACATTAAACAGGAGCTCGTAAAATATAAACAGGTTTGTTGGGGGGAAAATTATGATTGAATCTTAAAGATGTAAATGGAACCTAATTGTGTATAAGCATACCATATTGAATGTTAGTTGAGAAAGGACATGTTATAATCGGATCAATGTATAGCGCAAAATGTTACAGTTTAATTATATGAGATTTGCGTACATTTTCCAATAATGGTCTACTGTAAACAGAGCTTTTTCTCTCGCGAATATGTCAATTTCTGTCTGTACAGAGTTCAGAACGATAAGTCAACATTAATAATCAGGGAAATAATATAGATTTCTTGGTGTCCCGTTAGTGTGAAGCGGAGGATGATAGGCGAATTTACGGAGTTTCTCCGCAAGAACTATCTTATTGACTTAAGTTACTCTTTCCTTGATGAATAATCAGTACAAGTAGGTGGAATGAGGAATTGTAATAGCTGTATGTGTATGTTGTTATAGAAAGTATTGTTTCTTGTCCCTAGCAGCGAGCTCTACCAGTGAATACTCTATATGGCTTGTTAAAGTAACTGTCTGATTTATAGAGGATGTTGTCTGTAGGTATGAATATAGACGTTCTTTTGCTAAGAAGTCAGAATTTTTTTTATATTTTCAAACACACAATGCAGTGAAAATATAAATAAATATCACTTTTCGAGTGAGTTATAATATATTCCATATTCACAGAAAAGAAGCAAATTTTGTTAGTAGCGTTTTTTTCCCAGTAAACTGGCCAAAAGTTAACTATTTAATATATTGTATATCTCACTTGCATATTTCAATATCTCATCAAAAACATAAGATAAATTCAGTTATCATTTATCTTACAAAAGTTAAAAATAGCATAATAGTAAATGACATGAAAGTTTTATAAAGGTCATTTTTGGAAAATTAATTGTCATGTTTTAAAAAGTAATTAAACACTTAACATGTAGTTGTTTTAAAATATGTATAAAAAACAGTCAAATTTCTATTTGTGGTCATGCATAAACTGGAGGTTGTCTCAAGCACAGGTTTCACTGTTTATTAAAACCATTCAATATTTAGTTTGTTCAACGGATGATCTTAAACTTTTGACATTGGATTGGTGTCGGATATTAAATGCAATTTACCTTTTCAAACTTAAAGATTAACCCATTCATCAATAAAGTGCTTTTTTTGCACCATGCAAAAGTACGAAACATTTCAAACAGCAATGTATCTGACATTATGATAATTGCAAATCATGTGATAATATTTGCAATATGATTATACTGTGTAAATGTCTTGACATTTTAATATGATCAAGCCATTAGTGTGATATTCTATTTAGAAATTTAATGTTTTCATATATAAGATACAAGCTATGGTCCTTTGTCCCTGCCCGGAGGCGAATTTCGCCTGTACGTTTCATAAATGCGAAATAACGGTAAGTGATGCGAATCGAGAGATCTGTCACTATATAACAAGACGGCTAACAATTTATCATAAAAGCTACACAAAATAGATTTGTTAATATGACATTAATACCTGACACACTTATATGTATTTATCAGTGTGAAAACTAAAAGATAATGCTTGTGATAAAACTACCTGTACGATATGTTATGAATATAGATTGAGGTAGTTGTTAAGAACAACGGTCCTCGTCTCTCAAGTCAAGTCAGGTTGAGCGATGGTTTAAAATCTTATCTTGCCCTTAAATTAAATAGTTTAGCGGGTACGAACTTGTTTACCGATTAACAATTTAAGCAAAGTTTATGTGAGGGTTTTTTTTAAAAAGGAGAATTAATGATGGTATAAATCATTATTTTGAATAATGTATTTTGTTAATTGTAGTTATTTCAAATTCATTTCAGGTTTTTTTTAGTCTTCTCAGAGTGCTCCTCCTTTAAAACAAATAAATCTGACATTGTCATCCGAGATGGGAGGTGGGTCTTTCCTTGTGGATCATTAGGTTAAAGGGACAACACCTTATCTACTGAACTTTGTAGTTACACATGATTTATTATCACAAATTCTCTAATAGCTTCAGAATTTTTATGTTACTATAGTAACATTTCTCCATCTTGTGGATTCCTTACATTATAATGTCAGAATAACGTACTTGCATGGTTTTAATTTACATGGTTATACTATTCTTATGAAGAAGCATAAATATATTACAATTCTTTCTCACTAAATCATTTCAAATCAAAATTTATTAACCATTAGTGATTCTTATTTGGATGAAAGATTATTATAATTTTTTGTTAATTTTTCAAATTGTATATCAATGGAATTCTTAATATACAGTATGTTTAAACCATGTAAAATTCATATACTTTGATTGATTTAGTTTCGTTATTTTGGTAAATGTCAAGTTTTAAACAACTGATAATATATGTAAAGAAACAAATGATTATCATTAAGTAAACAACAAAAAATATAATTTGATGCAAAATGGCGTCCATGACAGTTATCATGTTATTTTAACCCTGAAGCAAATTCTCAACAAAGAATTTTTCCCCCATTTTTACATTGTTCAGACCACAGTCAGTTAAAACTGAAATTTTCGGCATAAAACATTTTTGTGTGACAAACGAGCAATTAATTCGTTGTTTGCACGCGTCACTGAGCAGGTCATTGAAATGAACACTGAGACAGATTTTATGTGTCTTTTTGCCAAAAGTGAAATATCGTTATGATCAAATGAACTTTTAAAGGCGCTCGAGCATATCTTTTACAATTTGTTTCTTCATGATAGCTAAATAAACCGGTAGGTCAGAAATAAACAGATATTTGTCAGATAAAATAGATGTATCGGCTTGGATTAGGTAAGCGAGACCAAGTTTAATACGCAGTAAAGAACATCTGATTGTAAACACTTAAAGTGTGCG